TTTTGAAACAGATTTCCTAAAATGACCATGATATGCCTAGTGTCATCTACTAGAAACTTTTTTTATATCCTATTTAGTCCAAGAAATTATCAAGTAGAAATTGTACGTATAACGTAGGGAAATGTGAAGAAGGGACAACGCCATAGAAGGAAATTAGTTAAAAGCACTAAACAATACAATATCAAAAGCTATTTGAAAAGCCGATTGATAATAAGTTGAAAAGTGTTGAGGAGAAAATGAAATAACGGAGTAAACGAAAGAATTAAATAGAATTCGAAGGATGAAATCACATTTATTAGAGCCAAAATTTTAAAGACAATACAAGAATTCTACCCGAGTTATATAAGAGATATCAACAAGAACAATCACACTATACAGCATCAGCTGAAATATGTATAATAAATCAAGGTTCTGAAATAATGCCTGACAACACTACTGCAATAAAAGCAAGTAAAGTGAGAAAACTCGGTGGATATGTCTCATTAATAAAATCCATGCACTATTTAATATGTCTGCGTAAGACCATCATACCTGCCAAATAGAACAGCACCATAACTACACTGCACCCCAAAATTAACGCATAATTTTAAAAACCCTGGGAAATCAAATAATTTTAATGTTTCGATTTTTGTGCTAATATATTATTGTTACCCCCAGTATATTGTAAAATTTATCGAAAGAACGGTAGAAAACGCTGATGTTTTTACCATTTTTTGCAAAAAAATTAAAAACATGCTAATTGAGCTTCATTTTATTTCGAATTTAGTTGGATTGGATTACCTTGTGCTGTACGTTTAAAGGGGTTTTTCAAGTTGATTAAGTGTTTTTTCTTTGAAATCATCCACCAATAGCAAGAAAATCGAAATTTGTCAGAAAGCGACTGTTTTAGAATCATTATTCTTCGCAAAGAAGGATACACTTAAGTAGAACTCGCTGAACATTTTAACGTCATCCAGTCAAGCATTTCAAGAGTGTTAACACGTTTTTCTGTTACTGGAAGTAACTCGAGAAGACCCGGTCAAGGCCGTAGAAGGGTTACAACTCCTAATCAAGACCGGTTTTTTGACCCTTTGTACACTGAGACAAAGGTTTGTTACCAGTACTTCTCTACAAAATGAATTTTTGGATCGTCATAACATTAGAATCAGCCAAAATATGATTAGAAGAAGACTTGCCGAAAACGACCTACACCCTGGAAGAGCACCAATTGGCCCATTATTGACCAGAGACCATAGAAGGCAAAGATTGCAGTTTACTCGTGAACATGTTGATTGGAATAATGACGATTGGGAAAGAATATTGTTCACCGATGAATCCAGGTACTGTGTTTTTTCTGATGACAGGAGAAACCGAGTGTATAGAAGGCCTGGGGAACGCTACGCAAGTGTAACACCGTAGTGACTGTACAGTATGGCGGCGGCTCGATAATGGTGTGGGGTGGGATTAATTTAGAGGCTCGTACGGAATTAGTTAGAACAGATCGCGGTCGGCTTACATCGCAGAGGTATATAACAGACATTTTAGACGAGCATGTCGTGCCATTCGTCGATAATTTCATGCTTATGCAAGATAACGCCAGGCCACACACGGCAAGAATTGTGCAGCAGTATCGTCAGGAGGTTGGAATTCCTGCCACAAATTGGCCTGTGAGAAGTCCTGACCTCAACCCAATAGAACATGTTTGGGACATCATAGGCAGATAACTACGACAACTACCTAATGCACCAAACACATTAGATGAATTGTTTTGGCGGTTGGTTGAAATTTGGGATCAAATTGATCAAGAAAAAATCAGAACGATTATTCCCAGTATGAGAGATCGTTGTCAAGCAGTAATAAATGCCAGATGAGGCAATACTTGTTACTAGTACACGGTACTAGTATTTTCTTCAACTTTAAAAATTTCAATTTCGTAATTAATATATAATGTTAGTTTGTTTAGATCAGTTTTTTGTTTAGATGTTTAGATTTCTGATGTTATATTGTTAATGTCAATACATTTTTTGTAAAACAAGAAAAGTTTTTTATTTAAGGTGTTCTAAAACAACCATAAAGCAGAAAAGAGCAAACAAAAATTTTTTCAATATACCTCAAAATAAGAATTTTAAAATTATGCGTTAATTTTGGAGCACAGTGTATTTTGCTCCACAATAAATGAATAAAGATTGATGGGACAGGTGGGTGGACAACTAATACAAAAAGAATCTTAGTTTAAAATATATTGGTTGCTATATTGCTGATCCGGAGTACTACCACTACTAACTAGATCAAGATAATGAGATAGCTCATACAATTTTTTTTAAAATGAGATCGCTTTTCTGTAACAAAAACTTGAAACTTCAAACTTTGAAAGTGCATGATGAAATGTTATAAATGGTTAGCTCTCTCAAACTAGAAAAATAGCATATTTTGGACACATACTACGAAGAAGTTGCTATAATATTCTCCAACTAATTATGACGGGAAAAATCGAAAAATGAAAGTAATTGGTCGAAAACAAGCTTTCTGCATAAAAATATCAGGGAAAGTACCGGAATATGGAATAACAAATGTTTATAACGTCGAGGGAATTTGAAAAGGCACGCAAAGAAGAGAAGAAAAGGAGAAAAGTTCAATTATTTTCATAAAGTTCATTAATTTTAAAGAGTTTAAACTTATGGCAAATCTAGTAACCACCATTAACTCAAAATTTAAGAAATACAAATTAAATTGTTCGGAAAATACATATATCTTGGACACGGAATTATAATTGGCAGGGCAATCAACTTGTGAGATGACAAACAATGTCTTTAGTCTCATATGTTTAAATATCTAGGCATCACATTATGTAGCTACGGAAAGCTCGAAACTGAAGTGGAAGATTAAGTGAATAGAGCAAACAGAGCGGCAGGCTGCCTAAATGAAACAATATGGAGAACTAAAAATATCGGAAAATAAACGAAAGGCAGAATTTACAAAACAGTCATCAGACCAATAATGACATACGCGGCAGAAACACGACCTGATACAGAGAGGACAAAAAGGATGTCAGAAAGGATGCTAGAAGTACACGTAAATGCAAGGTGGAGAACATCAAGAAAGCTATTCGATGAGTGCGTGTTTCGTGTTGTCACATAGCGACTTAAATAACATAATGAGCCTCACAAAGACGAATTGAAAGATAAACCTTTCAAGAGGTTCCTTGAAAGATTAACCATTCAAGGAACTAGTCAAAGGACTGGGGTCACTAATATCATAACGTGCATAGTGACACTCAAATGAGAATAGGCAGAACATGATGAACACATAAACTGTTGTTGGAATTTATACCAAAAAATGATAAACGTAGTAGGGGACGACCAGTAATAAGTTGGACTCTTGACATAAAATAACTACTAAGAACTAAGTAAGGACGTTCAGGATAGACAAAAGCACTGGGGACCTATATCCACCATTGGGCACAATGAGCCGGATCATGAATGACAATTAAGATAAGTCAAATAAAAATATATTAAAAATACCGCTAGTTTTATTGTTTTTCTTTTCTTTTCTGGGGACCTATATCCACCATTGGGCACAATGAGCCGGATCATGAATGACAATTAAGATAAGTCAAATAAAAATATATTAAAAATACCGCTAGTTTTATTGTTTTTCTTTTCTTTTATCGTAACACTAAATGTCCTTATTTGTACAAAAGGAAACATGTAGAAATTAAGTTCGCTATATCAATTTGCTAAATAAATCATAACAATAGTCGTGTATTCAAAGCATGTTTTAGTACATTTAGGCTTCCACATATTCCAAGTAGCACTTTATAGTAATGAGCTCCACTAAACTTAAGAACAGTTTTTTAATCTGCAGTAAATCATGTCCTTTTGACAATAAACACTTTAAGAATGCCCTATTAGAATATATGGTATAAAAAACAAATGTATTATTTAGGATATGCGCCAAAACAACTGATGCTTACAATGCAAGGAAAAAGTTTTTATTATTCCATATTATTGTCATAGAAAATGCAGTGCCAAATGGATCGAGTTAGTATTAATGGTTGCCAATAAATTTCGGATGTTAGAGTTTCAGAAGCCACCATAGGCTAATAGGACATGTTAAGAGTCGTTGCAAAATTTCAACATCCAGGAAGTGTTCTAACTCAACGCAAATTCTGTACTAGTCGTCCAGTTGTCATGAAGACTAGTTCGAACCATGGAAGGATATTTCCATAGATGTTAGAATCTCCAAACAGAAGTCCTGTAAACACATCCAAAAATTAATTTGGAAAAAGTCGTTTACTTCTTCAGATGCTCTATCCACTGTGAACCTTGGCTATTAGTATGACAATTCTGATCTTGCTTACGGCACGTCTAAATAGTTTGACCGATGAAAGTTCGAAGCACTTCCACAGATTTTGGAGCCACGGTTGTCATCTCCTGCCTGTCAGTCTCCTCCCAGGCCTTCGCTTGCTGCGAAGTCTGAACGTCTACCCGAAGCATACTTAGAAGATTATAAAATACAGAATTTACACTATTTGAATAATACAGCGAAGTAAGACAGAGTTGTGTGCTTAACTTCCATTTTAGTGATAGTTTATAGATAACCCCTACTTGGTTCAAATAGGTAATTTCCAGACGAATGCCATATTCATCTGAATGGATTTATCAATTGAAAGATACATGGTTTTCTTGGTTTTCAACGAGCAGACATCATTGTAGAGAAACCCCTTCATATTGACTGTGTAACGATTTGATGCATGTGTTCTTGACTATCTTATTCAGCATTATGAGTATTTCTTGGACCATAGTGGCAGGCACATTCGACATATTTTTTATCTCAGAAAAACTAAAAAATTTCACATGATTTGCATTTTTGTTATTTGTTGTTTCAATTTAATTAAAACTTAAGTTTACAGTATTTTTGTTTTGGCGCATACTGTACATATAAAACATTATTGCAATACATTTGTGCAAGTATACTGCACATACTGTACATATAAAACATTATTGCAATACATTTACAAGTTAGGTTACTTTTTTAACAGAGTGTACAGTCCTCTCATGTCTTCTTAGCTTTTGTTTATCATAGAATGACTTTGCACAATCAGCCATTGCACAGACAAAAGGTCTTTCTCCATTATGGCTTCTAATGTGAGTAATCAGATGATGGCGCTCAAAAAATGTTTTAAAACATTGTTCACACTTATGTAATTTTATTCCCTGAAACAAAAATATATTTTGCTTAAACATTAAACAAACATTTACACCATTAAATGAACAAATATTTTATGAAGACATTAATTCACTAAGCTCGGGAAAATTTTGACAATCATTGTAGGAAATACAAAAAAAAGATGTTATAGTAGGCGGTATAGTAAACTAGCCCGAAGCTTTATGCTATGTTTTCTGTATTTTTAAAATTTAAATAATATTTTCAAAATTCAATAAAGTAATTGTAAAAGTTATGTATTATATTAAAATAATTTATTAAATTATTATGTTTGCTCCTAACGCCACCTGGTAACGTATTAACAAAGTATATGTTGTTTACTTTTGACACACCTGTCAAATTCAGACGAAATAATAAATTAGAATGAAATATTATTTGATAGTAAATTTATTATTGTGTAAACTAAATAAGATGGTTTAAAATACTAATTGTATTTATATGAAATTATATTTTATTTCTTCAGTAGATTAAGAATAATCGGTATATTTTGAACATGATTTCATCATTACATATGAATAGTGAATCGATGTGAAGAACCGCTCTTTTGTGACGCTAGCTTTTTACCATAGAGAAAAAAATAATATATCGCCAGTATAGACGATTGGTTAATACCAAACAAATTATTTTGGAAATGAAACGGAAGTTCTATACTTTTGATTAAAAACTTTCCATTTGTAATTACAGAGACCGGCACAAAGGAAGGATTGTTTTTAAAAAATCATAAAATAGGTAATTATTTATTGACGGGTTTGGGTACAAAATGAAATAGCATTTATTACAATTAGGTGAGAAAAATCACATTAGTCATGTGGTGACCGTTGCTGAGAGTGTTCTTAAAAGTTGGCATAGACTATCTACAACATCGTTCTCTCAACATCGGACTTCCACGCGAATTGTCTCCTTCGAATCGTCCAGAGTTCGGTGTTTGTGCTCGTATACACGACCCTTAAGGTATGCCCACAGAAAATAATCGCAGATTGATAAATTTGAGGACCGCGGAGGCCAATGAACATACCCAAAATTAAAAATAACGCGACCAAGGGAGAGAGAGCCAATAACGTTCATCGTCGTTCTGGTTATCTGGGCGGTCGTCCCATCCTGTTGGAACCACACATGTCGGTGTGAACATTCAGCTGAAAAGAACTTGATGATCATTTCGATACGGCATCCGAGTTCACGGCAACACATTGCCATTACCGTCTTTGAAGAAGTAAGGGCTGATGATGCAACTTTTTGATACAGCGCACCAAAGCGTCACTTTTGGGGTGTGCAGAGGTCTTTCATGTTAATGTGGATTTTCATGATTTCAATAACGATAATTCTGCTGGTTAACCATGCCATTAAGATAAGACAGTTTCATTGTTCATGAACAAAATAAGGTTCTCATTTTGCCCGATAATTGCTTTTTTATCGCACGTACCAAGTTTATTCATTGTGTGTACTCTCCAGCCTATAACTACTGAACGATCACTGAGGTGAAGTTCAGCAGCATGTTGCCAAGCAAATTGAGTCGGATTGCAGAGGAGTGCTTTTCAAACGTGTTCCACATTTTCAGGGGTTCAAATCTTTTGGGGAGTTCCTGTTGGTCTTTTGTTAATCAGCACACCACATGTGCGAAAGGTTTTAACTAAATAAAGGATGGTGTTTTGAGAAGGAACAGCTCGATTCCAATGAAATATTAAAGTGCCGTCAAAACGCACGCTGTACAGCCGTGATACTCATTTTTATGAACATAACTGTCGTAAGCGAAAACCATCCACGGCTCCATAATATCGACTTTTAAAAATGCTGGAGCTGATAATAAACTTTCAAAAAAATATTGTGTGAGATTTTATAAGCAATATGAATAAAAATATATCTCTGGAAGAAAGAGGCATGTTATTTTGACCTTATCACTTTTCATCTCACAACTAAGTCAATTGTAGGTTGATTAAATCAAACACAAAATATAGTTTGCTCCTTCCAACACTCTTTTGTATATAATATTTGGCACATAAAGCACTGATATCCAAAAGGACAAGGGTTTCTGTGATTTTATAAGCCCTAAAAGGGGGTATTGCTTTTAACTCAGTATTTTTTTCTTTAAACTGTTCCCTGAACTGACCAATAACTGTCTGATGTTAGCTTGTGTTGTTGTAGTCAATGTTAGCTTTAAAATTTAGGTGGCAACTATGTTTTCCATTTTAGTCACTTCAACAGTTTTCGCCATTATTATAGAACATAAGTGTAGTCAGATATAAATTTTTATTTTATTTTGAAGGTTGAATAGGAACTGATGATTAATTGAAGTGCTATGGTAATTGTATTAAACCGAATTCTTACTTTTAAAAATCCACTTCTGCATAATTTTTTTCTTAATTCTAATTCTTTTAATTAATTAAATTAATCTGTTCATGTAACCTGTCTATTGCTTAGGCATGATTCAAATATTGCAATTTATGTTGCTTCACTCAGAATACTGATAAGATTGACACAATGATTAAAAAGAAAACACCCAAGTTTCTGATTTTACGATCATAAAAAATTTGTCCATAAAGATCCTTAATTAATTCACAAAATTACAGCTTATTAATTTTCTGACTCCTTGAAGGACTGTAGACTATTATCTTAATAAAAATTGACATTCCTTTTCCTATGCAATATTTTATCTTAATGGAATGGTCCTATTAAATATTCACATTAAGGAGTTACCATACTCAGTGTAAACTTAATTCCATTATATACATAATAATTATTAACCAAACTCGATGAAATTCTCAAAACCTGTAGTGGTAAGTGCAAACAATTGCTCATATGCAAACAAAATATACAATACAAACTTTTGTAAAAAAAAACTGTTTCTTGGACTTGCTCAATCAACAATGCTGCTAAAACATATTGTTTTAAAGAAGTTGAGAGAATAGAAGTTTAAAAAATCATCGGAAAAACTTCTACAATAAATGGACAGAAATACAGAAAAATGTAGATGGTATACTCCCAATTTGCAAATTGATGATAGTACAGTTGTTATGTCAAAACAGTCTGTAATCAGCATGAAAATCAGAATATGAGATCTAAATTAACATCGTTAAAGAAAATTCTTGGTTCATATTATATCTCACGGGAAGAAAATCTGACTTTATGAAGTATTGGAGGAGAATAAAATAATTAGCATCTAGAAGAAGTGGTTCGAAAATCATTGGAGACCTAGATGTTGAGAAGTAAATCACTTTCCCCACACTTGTAAGCAGAGAGCAATATTTGACCTGTTTAAAGAGACATATAACACCTTTAGTTAATCTGAACAAATTGTATTCCGTTGTAGTCCATAGCTTGTATATTTATGGTCATATAGATTAAAAAATCATCATTTTTGATAGATATGACTGCAACAAGAACCAATGCAGTACCAGAAATAATAAGAGAGCATTTTATGGTCATCACCAACAGTACAACTTAGAACAGAAACTAGGAGATAAATAAAACATATGTCAAAGTTGATATGCCAATAAGTAGTAGTCAGATTGCAATAATTAGTTTCTGATCAGTTTATATTGAGGATTGATCTCTTGAAAAAACTAACACGTTCGCGACGAGGGTAGTTTTATGTATCCATCCATAAAAGTGTAAAATTTTTTTCGCTATATTGTAACGATAATATTTTGCCTACCACAGGGGGCATTAATATAAGGAGTAGAAAATTGGGGGAAGAAACTAGGGGGGTGGAGATAAGGCAAGCAAAATAATCGCTACTGATGCGAACGGACACTCAGGGTTTCGTAGGAGAGCTGGGGTCGTGGATAAGTAAAAGATAAGGGCATTGGAATGGGGGAACTACAAAAAAATGAAATAAAGGGCTCTTGGGATAAACAAAATAAAAATAAACAAGAAACACCTCAAGGAATTTAATATAGGGCGCCACTTGAGGTGCCTAATTATGCCTATTACAACCACTAGTTGTAACTAGGGAAATAATTAGAAAACAAAATCAAAACATAAAAAACATATCTTTTTCAAATAAACTCAAAAAGGGTTACTCAAAAAAAAAATAAACAAAAAGTTAAGACAACAAAATTTTACCTTTAATTATGTGTACCACAAACAGTTACAAAACAAATGATAATTACAAAAAACAAAATTGAAATCATATAGATCTTTCAATGCAGTTTAGAATAAGGTCAACTTAAAAAAAAACAAAACAAATTCAAAACTTATGGTTAGTTATGTGTATAAGAATAATTATTATGACAGCCAAATCCTAATTATTATAATTTTACTTATTACAAATTTTTCAACTTGTCATGAAAGCAATTATTAATGATAAATGTCTATTTTTCACTTTAAAAAAAATTTAACAAAAAAAGTACCTGACTTCACTAAATATTAGTTTTGGGGCTGGAACTGGATTTCTAAACGCTGCAAATAACACAAATGTCTCCAAGCTTCAGAATGGTCTGGAATGACCAGGGACAAACAAATAGACGAAGGAAGTTGAAGTTCGGCTGGATCATCGGGCTTCGGGTCAAAAAAATTTGCAAACTTCTAAGCTTGGCTTTTCAAAACTTCATTGGAAATACGATGGCCTCTTATATCGTTGTAACACCTTACAAATCTTCCATTTAGGACATATTACAACACATATAACTTTCTAGAAACAGGATCTGTCGGCTTTCTGAAGATTACACGCCGAGCTCTTAACTGCCACCACACTACACATTTTCCCATGACAAATGACAAAAAAAACGAAAAAAACATTACGAATTTGAAGAAAAATTCGGACTCCAATAAAACTACAAACGCTCTTGATAGCGGTTTCACCGAGAGTGACGAAATTAAAAATTTGTTCGCTTAACTTGAAAATCAACGAACTGCTGAAATAGCAAAACCAACGAACGACGTAGATATCCTTTGAAACGCATTTACATGAAAAGAAATCGCCGCAGTAAAATAAACAACAATTAAATGGATTTATTACTCTACGACGTTAGAATGATTGAAAACACTTTTCGAAAGATACGAACTAAAAAACAGAAAACATTCTTCGTTTTATTAAGACGATTTCATATACGAGGCGACTTTAAATATACTTCAAAGAATCAATCAAATTTAAAATGCTACAATACCCCCACGTAAGAGCGAAAACTGGACTAACAGGAAAAGTTTTCGTTTAGAGCAAACAACAATCAGGTTGGAACAACAGTAGCATTTTCTAACTACTGCAACAATACATAATGACTTCAATAACTCAAACAAAACAAAAAACAACAAACAAAAATCATAACCAAAACTACACATCATAACTGTTTATGGTTCTAACATAATAACATACAAAATAAAACTGGATGCTCGATTTGACGAATCGGCACCAGGTACAGTTCGTTGGCTCTTAAGCACAACGACACAATGGCAGATTTCTACTAAAATGGCTCTAGCCTAACCAAAACGTGGAACAGACCAGTGTTGAAGTTTCTGGAAGCGAAAAGAAGGGTGCTTCCAGCTCAACAAAGGCGGGTGGCCAACAACACAGCTTAGACAAGCTTCGCTATGGTTATCCACATAATAGATAACCAAAACAGCATCAATACAATAACAACACAGTTGACTGCGACAGTCAACCAATGAATTTCCAACCTCCGGTTGAAAATTAAACCGCAAAAACAGAAGAAAACAGGATGGCCAATAGTTCCATAGAAATATCCTCCGGGATCGACACAGCGAAAAATTTCCAAGTCAGGAAACTCCCTAAAGGACAAAAGAAGAAAATAAATCCAAAATGCTAATACACAATCTTGGAAAAGAAAAAAGAACAGGGGCACATGGCATACAAGCCATAATCAATACACAATCAGTTCAGTCTCAAACTAAATACTTCCAAAAGAAACAAAAAAAAAACTCGTAACAGTCTTCCAAAGAAAACAAGAAATTTACGACAACACTCCAAAAGAAACAAAAACATCATTACAGATCTCCAAGGGAACATAGGAAACACCATAATCTTCCAAAAAAAACAAAAAAAATCATTACAGTCCGTCATCAACAATAAAACTTCCAACTGGGTACACAAATCTCAAAAGCAGGGCAAGAAGGGTAAAGAAGAAGAAAAGTATATATATACACAAGGCAAAAACTAATGACTTATCTTCCTTAAAAGTTCAACAGGTCACCTGGCGGACGAATCCAAAACTCATCGACCTAGCCGTTCCTCTTATGACAACTAATAAGGTCAAAGACACAGTTTGGGAAGGGAATAAAACGGCAACATCAAGAAATAAATTTCATCATTTCACGGATAATAATTGAATACAACATCTTCATACAAATCAGAAAGAAACGTTCACTATTCTTCAACTAAACTCGAACATGGTCACAACAATATAAGTCTGGGGAATTCTTAGTGGGTCATTCAACGGTAGTACTAGAAAAACTTCAGATGTTTCTCTTAGATGGTCTCACAATCGACATAAACAAAATTTTCACAATAAACGGCGGCAGGTACTTTCACCTCAGCAAATCAAAACGTCACAATGGACAATGCCAGTAATTGTACCTCCGCTTCCACCAAATCATCAACACTACATCACAAACACTACAACAAGAAGGAATGCTATTGAGACTAGGTCAATAGTCTTACTTCAACACTTAGAAAGGCTTATCCTTTCTAATATATCACGGAAAGGGGATGCTGCTACGCAGTCTTACACAACAACAGAAATATCCAAGGATACACAAATCCAGGTCACATGCCTGTACGTCCTATATGATACTTCAAAAACACAATACTCCATTCACAAACTAATATATTTCAAACCATCAACATTTCTCCACTACAACATTTGACCACACAAAGAAACAAAACTAACAGACAGAAAAAACATCAGAATACTTTCGCTATGTATTCTCAACAAATCGGCCTTAGCCAGGAATACACGAAGTCGTATCATACCTCTCTTCTACGTGTACACAAAAAAAGAACTAGGGAGAAACACAAGACTAACAGACAAAAGAAAAATAATAATACTCCGCTTTGTCACTAACAAATCGGCCTTAGCCAAGGACAAACGGAATCGTATCATCACTTCCTTCTACTTATAACACAGAATAGGAACACAGAAAACACGGGGAAACACGGAAATAACAAACATAAGGCAAATAACAATACTTCGCTTTGTCACTAACAAATCGGCCTTAGCCATGGACAAACGAAATCGCATTATTACTTCCTCCTACTTATAAAACAAAAGACAACAAGGGAAAAACAATGGACAAACGTGGACTGTAACAGAAAACATTTTCTTTTTCGGGGCTTAAATAAATTTCACACATTGCCTGGACTATAAACTCTTCATATCTATCAAGCAAAAATTTGACCTACATTTGCTCAAAGACTCAATAAGACGAAATAGATAACTTATAAACACTTAAAGAAATGAACAGCGTCTACATACGAAATAAATTATTTCGTTAACGTAAACAAAATTCTTTTCTCCGACATGGGATACTATTTGCTCAAGACGAACTTGGAAATAAACAAACTAATATCGTTCACATTTAAAAATGCCGCCAATAAGGAATGACATCATTCCAAATACGTATTTTTTAATTCACAAGGAAAAATAGACGAGAATTAAATTTCAACGTAATTTTTCGAAAACTGGACACAGAAGAATATGGAAATCGTAGCAGTTAACTTGGGACAGAAATAGACTTGATTTAACGAAAAACTGGATAAAAGCAAATTACAATACAACTGAAAATACCGTTAGAAACAAACTCAACGAACTTCACATACAGGGCGGAACAAAAATACTAAAACAATGATTGGGTGAAAGCAAATACACAATGTATACAAAACAACATACTCGATAAACTTCACATAAAGGGTGATACAAAAATACTAATAATATTGACAACTTGACTTTTGAGTGAGCTACACAAAAAAACACAACATAAAACACCTTGCTCTTGTTCTGAAAACTAAATGAGACTGCTCCTAGGCAAAACTAAACAGCACCTCCGATCACGAGTATTACACTTGTCATCATTCAGATACAAGACAGGAAACACAAAAGGGGACTCAGGGGAACACAATCTCCTAATAACCCGTGGCATTACATACGCCGTCAAAGTTTTTAAATGAGTTTGATTCTTAAAATATACTTTTTTAGACTTCAAGTGTTTTTAGTGCTTACACAATTCCTTTCTGAAAACCACGGTGAATGTAGACATATATATATCATTCCTGCAGCTGTCACTGCAGTATTATATTTCCCAGAATAAACTGTACAATTTTAGGTTGAATAAGATATGTACTAGACCGTGACCCACGGGTGGGCGCGCACGGCTCTTGGCAAGAAACGGTGTGACCCACCGGTGGGTCACATGGTCACAAAGGTGTTAAGCTGTACTAGATGTTAAAAATGGAGTCTTTAATACTGTGGTCAAGAGTTCCCCTATAGAAATAAAGTGACTAAATTGTAATTAAATAAATACAAAAGATTTAGAGCTTGACAAATTTTACTGCTGCAGTATACTGTCATAATATGAAGAAGTATATTAGAAACTCCTCTATTCAATAAAACTAAACTATGCAAGGTAGGTAATGAGTTGCTGAAGTGTATTTAACACACTGCAAATCATTATATTTCCAGATTACTATGGGCAAGCTATTTTTATGTATTGCTTTTAATTATTTAAATGGAATGTGAATCACATTATATTTTCTTTGTGGTAAATTGCAACAAGAAAGACTAACAGTTATATTATAAAACATTTCACAGTATGGTTATATTTTAGACATTTAATGTATGTCTGTCAATTTCAAATCACCTTCAAGTTGTCCAGGAGGAATACTTTTGTAAGTCATGACTTCTGTAAATGTTTTAAAAACTGTATGTTCTAAATACTTCAGGCTAAATATATTTGGGTTTTACAAGCTATCTTACAATACTAGGCAAATTGTGCCATTATGTAACAACTTTGTTACATCTGTATATCCATTTTGCAAGTATTTTTATACAATTGTAATGTTATTACAGTTTGTTATTAACAAATAAATTTAGTAATTAATTTGCAATAACAGTGTCACAGTTTTGGTAATTACAACTGTCAGTGTGTATATACCACTTGCAAATCTACTGTGAAAATTAGATCTATTCTTTGTTTTTCTTCTTTTCTTGCGTCACTTAATGTCATCAGTGTTATATCTCTAGTGTCAACTCTACAACCTTTGGGCTCAGTGAATATCTCTTGTAGATAATGCAAGTGAAAAGTGTACCAATTTTCTTATTTTACTTTTATTAAATGTTATTATAACAAAAAATACTGAACTATGGTATAATATAATGTTACACATATATACCTTTACAAGTTAAAATTAAAATAATTTTCAAAAAACCACAAAAAAATCAATTTAATAGATAACATCCTATGTTGTGTTTGTAATTAAAAGATCCAATGTGAAATGAAGATGGCAATATTTGTGGCAATTTAAAAATGTATGGAGTAAGGTCATAAACATATTTTTAGTTGTATGATTTTGTTCTGCCACTAGCCAACATTGTTACTTCTCGGTTTCAACAGTATTTTACCTTATTTTCCCATCCTTTGTATTGACCATTCTTGTTGACACAAAGGACATCTATTATTTTGTTTTACCCACAAAGACATGCAGCAATAATGGAACGAATGATTACACTCTCCCCAGACAACAACACAATCTTGTTTTCCATATGAATCTTTTCTGTTCTCAGCCTGACACCTTAAACATGAGTCCATCACCTGAACTCTGCATATTGCGCAAGTATCGCATTCAACATCCCAACTCCACATAGCTACTGCATTCCATTTTTTTAACGAAAACATCTTTTCTGTGTTTTTTTGAGGATCTATATCCATTTTTTCATTATCATTTTCGTCAGCCATTTTTTGTTGTGGCATTTTGGATTCTACTGTTGTTTTTAATTTTTTACTGACATTGGCAATTATGACAGTTGACATTTTCAATACAGGCAATACATCTTATGATCACAGAATACTCCATATGATCAAAATTTTACTGAAGAGAAATAAAGCACACGCCCCAGACTAGCTTAAACTACAGACAAATATAGATTTTTGATTAATATAAAATAGTAATTACTGTTTTCAAAAAGTCACTTTAATTTATTCGTTTAGTTTTTCGATATTTCACTTGGCAGGCAATATATCTATCAATCTGAAATGAGTGTTGCATACATCTGAACATAGTATACAGCATGCATATTACATTAGTTTTATAATGTTCCATTAATTTGTTCTGCTATGAATTTTAATGAACATTAAATTAAACGCATAGACTAATAAATGTGCCAATGAAAAGTAGATATTAGAACAAATAGAATAGTTTTGGCTTAGTAACATATTAAAAGTGTAAAAGCACTACCTACAACTAACTGCTATTATGGACTCAAGTATAAAATAATGTTAATGTAAAAAATATAATATCGGTAATAAAGGTTTTGCTTATAGATTCAATAGAAGATTTAAAATTGATATTCCTCTTCTTCAGCCTTTATTTATCCATTGTTGGACATAGGCCTCCTCGCCACGCTTCTTTTTTTCCCATGATGTCGGTTGTTTTAGTTTTTCGACGTATTTCGGTGCTAGGAATTTTGTCTCTGAGGCTTACATTTAACATGGCCCGTTAAGTTACTCTTATTTGTTCTGCCATTTTTCTTGTTATTGCCATAGTTTACAATCCATAAGTTGCAACTGGTAGTATACAAGTGTCATAGGTTTCTCGTTTTAAGTGTCTTCTAAAATGAAGCTCAACTTACCAAAAGCAGCCCATGACAATTGTCTCCTTTTAATTTCTAGGGTTTAATTTAATTTTTCGTTTTTAATTGCATGTCCTAGATTTATATATTGTTCTACCTTTTCTATATTGATGTTATCTATCGTGATGTTTTCTGGGCTGCTGCTTAATATCTTTGTTTTGTAGAGATTCATTTTTAATCCTATTTGATTTGATTTGTGATTTAAATCTTGCAGCATTGATTTTAGTTCATGGATATCTGTGCTTATTAGTACTATGTTGCCAGCGAAATGCAAATGGTTAAGATATACTCCATCTATTTTTAATGCCTTTTCGGCTCAATTTAGTTTTTTAAAGACATTTTCTATGCCAAAGTAAATAACTTGGGTGAGATGGTGTCGCTCTGTCTCGCACCTTTGCCAAAGTCTATTTTCATCGTATACAGTCTTAATGAGGGCAGCGTATCTTGAATCTACTCTGGCGTCGTCCAATGCTGTTAAGAAAGCCCATTTCTCAATACTGTCGAATGCTTTGTGATAATCGACAAATGCCAGATGTAGTGGTATGTTGTACTCTATTGTTTTTTCAGTAACTGTCCGGATTGTTTGCAAGTGATCGATAGTGCTAAAACCCTTACGAAAGCCTGCTTGCTCCATTGATTGGTATGCATCTAGCTTAGCTGTCAATCTATTTGTTATTATTCGGATTAGTAGTTTGTAAAGGTGTAACAATAAGCTTATTGGTCGGTAGTTTTCTTTATTTGCGGCATCCCCTTTTTTATGGAGTAAAATGACTTCCTCATTTTTCCATGCTTTTGGTATTTTTCCTTCCAATAGGCATTCATTCAGTAATGCTCTCATTTCCTCTTCTAATGCAGTGCCTCTCATTTTTAGCATCTCTGAAGTAATTTTATTTTCTCCTGGTGTTTTCCAATTTTTCATTTGTTTTAGGGCGGCTCTAATTTCTGATGTTATTATTTCAGGGAGATCCTCTAAGCCCACATTTAAGATATGTTTTGTTGGTATATCGGGATTCGGAATAGTAGAAGTATACAGCTTATCATAAAATTTTCGGATTTCTCTTCCTTATGCGAGCGCAATGTTAAACGGTCGTCTTTTATCTTTGATTTTATTCCTGCCAGTGGATATACATGTTTTTAGTACTTTCATGTACTTATTGTTCTCTATGGTTTCAAGAATCTGGTTTGTTCTATATGCTCTGAGGTCTTTTCGAATATTTTTCTAAACGCTTCTATTGAGAGCTTTATAGTCCGAGTTATCTCTGTTCGTTCTTCTTCCTTTCTCTATCTGTTCTAGAGTCTGAGGTTTTAGTTTAGCTTTTTTTTTGTTTTTTTATTCTGCAACAAAGTTTCTTAGTTACTGTTTGTATGTCTTTAGTTATTTTCTCAGCTAGTTCATCTATATTCTTGTGCTAAAGGTATTTGTTACTAGTTTCCGTGCTAATTCCTCTTGGTATTTCTCTTTATTACTGGATAGGATGTCTGCCGTCGGTAAATTGAGATTAGATGCTATTTTCTATATATAATAAATCGTAATAAAATGCTACAACAAAATAACTTCATACCAATATTATAAAATTAGCCAATTACAGACCATACATATCTAGTTAATAAGTTAATTACAAAAAGTTAATACATAAAAAATTAAAGCGTACCTGATGATATCTTTGATGTTTAATTAGTTCCCTTTTAGTATAAAATGCAGACGTACACTCATGACATTTAAATTCTTTAATACCTGCATGAGTTTTTTCATGCCTGTCCAAAGTACATTTCGTCATAAACTCCTTGGGGCACTGAGAGCAATGAAACCTTATGCATTCATGATATTTTTTAATGTGGGCCCTTAGGTTACTTCTTATAGAAAAACCAACATTACATAAGTCACAGTGATAACCTTTTATTATTGAATGGATCTTTTCGTGACAAATTAGTGACTTTTTGGAAATGAAATCCTTCCCTGAAAAAGAAGTTAGATGATAATGAAAGTTTTCGAAATGTTCGTCGACAACTGTAGAAGTTAATATAAATATTATTACGCATAATATGGCCGCAGTAAACCAATTTTCTGTTCTTTACGGAGTTAATAATTTCTTTGTCTTTTCTTCGCCTCTAGATAATAGTTATTTTAGTTGTGTGGTAAATATATGAGACCTCGATAGCGACATGTCGGTAGCACCACATTTCAAATACCTGTAACCGTTTTATGGCATCGTTTCGAAACTCTAGCTTTCTACTTCGTAGAGGAGGAAGCTAAAGACATAACATCTAAGGATTCTTAGGCGTATATTGATACTTAAAGATAAGTTACAGAGAATATCCCCAAGTTACTGCAATAATAACGACCTAAAAAAATATGCGAAACTATAATCTGTCAATGAGAATGAATATACAGTTTTCGGTCGCAGTATTGCTTCACAATTAATGACGTTAATTCCACAATAAAAGCAAGGGAATGTATTCAGTCTGTTCTTACAATCTTACAAGTTTTAAACCGTCAGCGTATTCGGTACGACACATCTGCACATAGTAGCAGCAGTGTTAACGACCCATCTTCCATCCCTACACCACTGCAGTCCCCTACATATTCCAACATGCATTATCCGCATAGCGCTGAATCCAAAACTATAGTCCCCGAAGAATCACATGGCGATGATATTGTACGATCACAGATAATAGCATAGTCCTTTTCCAACATTTAACATGTTTTGTTCATCAACAACTTTTTCGCAATAAAAATATTTAAAAACACATAGCTTTAAACATTGTTTCAGACCCTCATAAATAGCATCAAAAATCTCGGGTATAAATTTGAAGATTTCCAGGTATTGACACACGAAGCAAAGTTAACATGGGTCAATACAATCGTAACGGAAGTATTACTGATCATGGATCACGGACACCAAGATCCGACAGGGAAGGGCGCGCACAAGACTGTAGGGCCTCCCCGCTCGTCATCACACGAAATCCCTACAATTTTAGAAGTACAACTTTAAAAATGTCTAGCACTACAATCAGATTAGATACCTAGAACGTTAAAAGCCTCTATGCAGCAGGCAAGCTCAGTAATTTAGTTCAAGAGGTTAAGCGTTTAAAAATTGATATAATGGGCATCAGTGAGTTCCGATGGCCTGGAACGGGAATATGTGAACAAGATGAAGGCACACTATACTATTCTGGAAGTGCAGAAGATGACACATATCATAGGAATGGACCCTAGTAACACACGACGTCCTATGGACGTCCAATATACGTCCAGTTTTGGTCCGGACGTCCCTGGACGTAAAATGGACGTACTATGGACGTACGAAGTGGGACGTACTTTGGGTGGACTAAATATAGACGTTCTCTGGACGTCCGTGCTCGGACGTTCCATAGACGTCCATAGTCGGACGTTCCTTGGACGTCCGAACTCGGACGTTTTCTGGACATCTGACATTTACCAATTATGGGATCAAATAGCAAATATTTTAATAAAATAAAAAATTATTTACGTTAATAAAATAATTAAAAACGAAAAGGTTAAATCATGATTAATTAAAAATTGTATAGTTTAATATATCCAAAACATGTTTTGTTTAAGGTAAAGTGTAAAAATATTTTATTTCTAGATAATTGGTTACAATTGTTTTATTATTCTAGTTATCACGATGATATATGTTTGCTAATTCTAATAAGTAAAAATATGATTTTTATCAACAAGATGAATCTTGAAATCATTTTTCAAAGATGAACAAGTGGTTGTAATATATTCTGGCTGAACCTAACCTGAACAAATAATGATGAATGTCCTTGTTTGTCATATACCTATTTAAACAAATGGTACAGTTTAATTATATTTATATTATTAATGCTTTAATAAATGAAATAAAAGAATTCTATTTAAGCAGTATACAGTGCATTGGTTTTTTGATGCTTGGCTTTGTGTTGTGGTTATAGTATATTGTTAAAGGTTTGGTACCACATGTTAGGTTATACCAAAGAATATTCTTTGGTTATACTTCAGAAATTGGTTTTATTTTAAAGGTAAGTGTAATTTTTTACTTATTAATTATGTTTAAAAGAAAACGATTTGTTTCTAAGCGTCATCAACAGAGGAAGGTTACGAAAAACGTAGAGAATATTGTTGAAAATATTAATAACCTCGATATTCCATCTCCTTCAAACCTTTATTCGGAATCCCTGACTGATCATTTTTCCGATTTAAACTTTTTATTAACATGTTAAGTACCTAAAATAATGCAAATTACCACGTGGACGACCATTCCGGTGATGGTGATCCTTTACAAAGCTCTTCTTTCAATGAAACTGAAGAAGGGTCTAAACATTGTTTTTAATTTTTCTAATAAGTTATTCAACTGGACTTTGTCCTTTAATACTAGGTGATTTATTCTTCTTCTTATGGTGCCCTATCCAATTAGTGGATGTTGGCGACAATTATGGCATACTCCTCTCGATCTTGTTGTGTGGCTCTAAAAAGTGCATGGGCATCGAGGTTTGTCCAATCCCTTATGTAGGTGATTTATTAAAAATTCATAAAGAAGTTCCTGACCTTTCTCATTTGAGTTCAAATGCTAGAACCCTTCTTGCTTGGCTTCACCCATACCCTTATCCATATGATTCAAATTTCAATGGTATTTTTATCTTCACAAAAAAACAATGTTATAGAAATTTGTGTACATTTTGATGGAATCTCACTAAAAAAAGAGTTTTAGTAGTCAGTCATATCCTATCTTGTTTATATATTATAAAATTGTAGATTTATTAGGCATTTACCACGGTTATGAGAAACCAAAATTTGCAAATGAATGTTTGATTGATTTTGTAACAGAGACTTTTTTTTATTAGATAGTTTAAGCTAAAATAATTAAGCATGGATGATCAAGTTTGTGGGGTAGTTAGATTACTGTTACATGTTGATTTATATTTTAGGATAATGAGCTTTCGAAAATTGGTGAGGAGACCATAAATGAATTTGTTAGGAGAAGCCATAACAAGCTGATCTGGAATAAAATTCAAGGAAAAGATAGTTGGCTAGGGAAAAAGCAATATAAAGCTTTTGAGGACACACCTATAGCTCTGATTTTAAAAGGTTTGTAACTTGTAAACATAAATCAATTTAAGGTACATTTAAGAATTTACACTATCACTTAAGTGGCCACATACAGCTGATTAAGCATATTGTTAACTGTGTCTTATATGTTATTTAGATGGCAAATTTTACCAACTCATAAATGTTCAGGTCTGGCTATGAGATTGCTTTAAGAACTACAGCTAGCTTATGAGATAAAGGTTTGTTGTTGGCCATATATTTTATATTATATACAGTTATTTTGATTTTTTCCGTATAAAAGTGTAATTACTGCTCATTTGGTCATTAGAAATAAATACCAATGGTTGGGTTGGTATTCTTCTAATTCAGGTGAGATTCATTAAAACTACAGCACTTGAAATTCACGTGTTTAATTTTACTTTGAATTATGATTTATTCAAAAGAAGCAAAGTATAATGAACTAAATCTGAAAATTAGTTTGTTCAATTTATGAATGTACAATAATTTTTTTTTTCAGATGTTGCTTGGAAAAACTGCAAAACCAGCGTTGCCATGGGGAAGGAAGTTGAAACTTGATAATGAAAAATATCTGAGGAAATATTTAAAGAGAGGGCAGATAAAATTTAACTTGCATGTTGCATTAGCAAATATGATTAATTTTGTAATGATTAAATTGTGTGGTTCATGGACATAAAGGAACAGTCCAATTTTTGAGACTGTTTTATATATTAAAAATAAATACCTAAAAATTAATCTACTGTTGAAAGAAAACAGACAAAGTTCCATATTAGGTATTGATCTTTCTCATACTTATGATTTCAACTTTAAAACTCAACAATTGACTTGTCTGCTTTTAATTGCTGACCACACAATTGTAAGGGAAATCAGAATGGGAAGGGATAAGGGAAGTTGAATGGTTCTGTTTTTAAGAACCACAATTTCAACAATTTTGTCAATTTCTTTAGCAGTATTCGCAATCCTTCTTTTTCTTGTGTAGACAAGTGTAGTCAAAGATCCCATATCAGTCACAGCCATATTCACTCTTTTAACTATTAAAATTTGTGACGCATGCTTACAGTGTCTTAATACCAATAAAGGTCTTGGTCCAGACATAATATCTTAACTTATTTTTAGGGAATTGTGCATTCTTTTTTCAAATTTCAAGAATCAGCTTCATACTGGTCAGGGTGGTTTACTTACTGTCTAGTCGTTCAACTTCAACTAATTTACACTGATTATGTTATAATTGCATTAAAAACCATTTTTATGTTGATTAGATTTATACTGACTTATCTACAAGCATCAACTGTTCTTGTAAATTGTGTAGACCATATTCTTATTCTGATATGATCAATTTCTTGAATCTGGATTTTTTATCAAAAGTGTTACCTTTTAATCTTTATTTTTCAACTTGTTTATAAAATAACCAATCTACTAAATTGCTTCAGCTATTTTGTTTTCATATTCCTTCCCATTCACTGTGTCATAATTTACATTTCCATGTTCCTTACCGCAGAACTAATTATGTTTCACACATAGAGATGGTCTAAAACTTTTATATCAATAGCTTTAGGTACTATTTGAAGCACTTAAATGCTAAATGAAACTTATTATAAATGTGTACTTATTTATTTTATTTATGTATATTTTATTTTATCTGTAATTTTGTCTATATTTCTATAATGTTGCATTTTTGTATAATTTTGACAGTGAATTTGTTCCATTTGTTAATAATAAATAAATATATGTAATAATAAATGTTAGTTCCTTTAAACATTTATGTTTTATTACATAAAATTATTTTATATTTCTATAATGTTGCATTTTTGCATAATTTTGACAGTGAATTTGTCCCGTTTGTTAATAATAAATAAATATAAATAAATGTAATAATTAATGTAAGTTTC